TCTTAACCAAACTTTGCTTTATTTCTTTGGCACATCGTTTATTTTCCGCTATCAGACTTTGGGAGCCGTAGTGTTTACCGATTTTGCGTTAAAGGCGTTAACCTGTGTTAATTCGTGACATTTCATGAGTTAGCACAGGTACTGTATGTCAATGAATGGGCGGGTCTAACATTGCGCCATTTGACACTATGTAATGCGGCTACAGTTGCCTTCCTCAAAATGGGACTGCTGTCAAATTGCCCGTTTAATTCTGGAATTCTAGACAAGCTGGTAAATAGAGGTAATCGGACAAAATTATGGTATGCTAATTGTGAGAAAATAAATCGGTTGCGTGCTGCAGTGGTTATTACAACGGTTAATATTACAAAATAGAATGTTTTACGGTGAATTTGGTCTACGAGTCTAATGCATTTTTCAGCAGCTAGACCGGCCAATTAGTGTGGAAGGAGGACACGAGTAGTAAATTAATTTTATTTTCTAAAAATATTGCCCTAGTTCATGGCCCTACCTTATTCCGAGGCTGAGTGCAAAGGGAATTAACTGGATGATTCGAATCAAGCAGCTTAGGACGATTAAAACAAGAAAAGAAAATAAAATTCTGACCTCCTCGTGGCCGTGGGGAGATGTTCTTAGCTGGTGTAGAGACGTCGAGAAGAGAAGCATCAATCGAAATCCTTTCATCTCAAAAACGACCGATTGCAAATTTTGCATGGGGTGATGCAAATGGCATAAGTAGTGATAAAGCATCCGTTAAAATTTTGATTTTCTGCAAACATAATTTTTCGTGTGCAGTAAGGCTCTATTCATCCGTTCGTGGATTGTGGAAATGCGTTTTTTAGTAGTGATTCATGCTGCTTATTTCACTCCATCTACCTCTATGCACTTCCATATCTCTCGCCACGGTAGTCGGCCAAAAGCTATGGAAGAAGTTGTGGTTCATCAACGTATATGAATCCAACGGTTTTAAAGAAGCATATCCTTAGTCTGGTTCAGCTTGTCAAACCATAACATTTCGGCTCTAGGCCTAATCACTGCCCTGTCACTTTTAGCTCTAATTTGCTGCACTCAACGGCTTACTTTCTTAACATGTGTAATGAGAAACTGTTATCGGCCGGTGAGTCTCAGCAGTATCGTATAGCATCCTGCGTGTTATATAAAGGTCCTTGCCAGCAATTGTCCAGCACAGCGTATGTAAGTTACATTAAGATTTTAAGACCTCATAAAATGGAGCATGCAAAATCAGATCAAAGCGGGTCCGTCGGAGTAGTGCATGCTGTAAATTGTGCACTCTTTCAACAATGAAAGTAACAGTGGGAACAGAAATCAGTACTCACAGATGAGTGGAGGATAGGGCGAATCGATACAACCCCACCTAAGTAATCCTTCCTAGTCGAAAACGCATTTCAGAATTTCGGCCAACCTTTCATTAGAAGGATCAATCTACGGTCTATGAAGCAA